CATCAAATGAAATGGCATTAAAGAGATCTCACACATGTAACAAATTGTAATGAAGGTAATATTCCATTAATTTTGTTATATTTCAATTTAAGAGATTTCCTTTATGCTGGTGGTTATTTGTAAATTTGGTAAGTATGGTTAATTGACACACAGAGGAAACTATTTCACCTTTAGGCCTGATGTGCTCTTTAGGTGATTCAAATTCCATAGTAATTCTCATTGTTTTTATGATGGCAGGTGATAATAAGCTGTTTTGATTCAATCCCCAAGGGGATTTTCATCGAAATTGAGGGGTTGGAATATTAAAGACTCTGAGTGTGACCTATAAATAGAAATAAACTGGATAGAAGGTAACTTGCGTAAGTTATTTCCTCTGGGCAATGACCAATGTCTACTATTAAAGAATTAACAAGCTAGGAGAAACTTTGAGTCACTCAAATCTTCCCTCTGGGATGGGGATGTTTAACAATCACAGTGGCCTGCTAGGCGGGGAGAGAGGCTGAGTTCTAGTGTGAGAGGACAGCAGACTCTTGCCCTTGGAAGAGGGCAGAGAGGGTGGATGGAGCTCAGAAGAGGAGTGGAAAAGCAAGAATATTCATGTTAAGCTGAATTGTACTTGAACCACATTGTTTTCACCTGCTAAAAATTGTGACTGTAGACTTAACTTCTCTGAGTTTTAATTATGTTGAAAGATTTCAGTGAGTAATTATGTATAGAAAGTAGAATAACAGAAACATTACCAGAACTCAATAAAGGATTGCAATTATTACTGTGCAGTTAATAATTATTATTGTCATTTCATTTGAGGATAGGACAAAAAAAAAATGTGCGCACAACTCATCATTATGCTTCATTTTTTGGATCCTCTATTGCAAGGATTTCCAAGAACTTCCAGGAGGTGAATGGGTAGATCTTTGGGGAGGAAGATGAGAAACTTGGGTGGGGAAAAATAGTCATTGTTTTGATTAACCCCTCACATTTTAAAGTTTCCTTTATTAAAAGTGCATGTAACAAATCACAGTAGTAGCAATAATGATTATTACTTGATCAATTGTCAACATTATGTATATTTTATATCACATATATTCATCTCAAAATATCATTTCAATTGGAATCATATTTCAAAATACATTCATTCTTAGATCCACTCATTGAATTGATGTTAGATCACATGCAATAGCTGCATTCTTGTTTGAAGACATTGGTGTAATAGACTGGCTATCAAGATAACTATTTTCTAATTAAAAATATGTTTTGATAAAAGATTCTAACACATTGGTTTACTTTGTAATCCTAAGTACAGTTGACCCATAAACAACTCAGGTGTTAGGTGTGTTGCCTTTTTCCTTTCCTTCTCTTCCCCACCCCCACCCCCAGGAAAAATGGGATAACTTAAAGTATTCCCTTCATACACAAGGTGTTATATCAGGGGATTCCTGAATGTGGAAAGGATAGAAAAAAAAATTGCCATTAAGTGTACCCATGCAATTGAAACCAATGTTGTTCAGAGGTCAACTGTACTTTATGTTGTGCATCTTTATATTCCAAGGAGACTGCCCACTTTACCAGATTGCTAGAGGGTCCAAGATACATAAAAGATTAGAGCCCTGTAGTGCACTGATGTGCAGGAAGAACGCTGAAGTCAATAAAGCTTTATTGACTTTCCTGTCTGTTGCCTATGTCAATAAGCACCAACAATAGAAAAGCTGTAGACAATTATAAAAAGTCAGGGATTCTGTCCCTTTAATGAGTCTAATTCTGGACAGCAGATATAAAATAGCAAGAAAGAAAATATCTGTTTCCTTACCCAGGAGCTTGATGTCTGGAGCACCCAGCAGAAAGGAAATTTTCCTAACTAGGGGGTTGATCCTGGGGATGGCATAATAAAGACAATGTGCAGAGAGCTGAAGAGGGTAGAAGAGGAGAGAAAAGGGGAAGGAGAGAAATTGGACTAAAGAAACCAGAAGACACTGGAACTCAGCAATAGGAACTACACAGCCTGGAAACCAAAAAAAAAAAAAAGGGAAGAATAAATAGATCTTAAACAAAGGACAATGAAACTAAACAACAAAAAAGTAATGAATACTTAATTTTGTTGTATTTCAAACAAGCAAGATTTAGGGGTATTCCATATGATGACCCTTCCTCCTCCTCCCTTTTGTCCCATGGTGCCAATCCATTTCCCATCTTTCTTCTAATTATGCAGGTCTTTCTTCTTTACACTATAATCCCTAGTGCTTGTCTTTGAAGGACAAAGAACTTGCCACATGTTGGGAAAATTTAGGATCTGGTGGTACCAGCAACACTGCATGTTCTGGCTCATGCATTTGGCTTGGAGTATTCCCAATCCAACCCCCCACTTCAGGCAAATGTCTGTCTTTCACAGAACACAAAACAGTTCAAAAAGCCTTTCAAAAAGACACACGAATAGGAAACACCATATAAACAGTAAAAAACACATCTTAGGTTGCTAGATTTTTTTCCTTCAAGGTCTTAAAAAAAGGCAACTATAAATCTCTTACTTAACAAACAAATGCACACAACATATATCCAACAGGAATTGGAATGTGCTATTTATCCTTGAAATATTTCTCCAAAACATTACTTCAGGTCAGAGTTTATTCTACATATGCTGACCCTCTGTCTGTAAATTACATCATGAGTTTGTTTATCTTCCCATTCCTAAAAGATGTTTGTTTGCTAAGTTCAAACAATGATCCCATGAAGATAGCAGTCTTTAGACACATTTATAAATGCAGACTAAGTGGAGTATGAGACACTGAAAAATTGTACAAATCAACACAAGTGAAATATATAAATTACAATGAAATAGAGGAAGATTATGGTTCCCTCTTGGGGTGATTCTTTTAGCAGTTATATTGCTGTAAAGAAAATGAAATACGCAACAGGTTACAATCAGGCAAAGCAAACAATGATGGCATTTCAGTAATTTTAATTTCTGTTTAGAGGGAACGTAAAGCAGACTGACGTCAACTTCAGCAGAGCTCTGTCCCCTAATACTGAGGGCTAAACAATGCTCACAAAATGTTTTCTAAATAAACCAGACTCCATACCATCCCCTGACAAAAGCTTCAGAAAGGACCCGTGGAAACTGCAACATCCCTGTGCTTGCTTGACTTTGTGTTTGGGGTATGTTTTTACTCTTAGGGATTTAAGAGGTAATGCTATGGAGTGTCACACAGGACTGGCCTCAATGTGAGCAGCCTTTGGAATGAATGCTACTGATTTATAGACTTCACTCCTCTACATTGAAAACCTTGCCCTTTGGAAACATCTTTTGTCCTATAAAAAAAGTAGCAGATCTGCTCAGCAGTGTCCGGGAAGGAACCACACCTGCTATGACTCAGATGGTAAACCCAGTGGGGTTACTTGCTCTCCCAACTCAGAAGTTCAGCAATTTGGGTCATTGAGATATCATGCCTGTCCCCAAAATGCACTGAGCTCTTAAGTCCAGTGGGGCCTCACCTAATTCAAACTCTGTCTTCTATGAAATTCAAGATTAAAGCTAAGGTCAGATTATAGTAATCTCCAAAGGGTTCGTCTCTATCTCTCCCCATACCTATTGCCTGGAAACAACCCCATATTGAAAGTTTTCCACACCACTGTTTGCTTGGAAATTTGGGAGCTTCCCAAGGAAACTATTAATCTTGCTGTACTTTCCTGATAAGATTTTTATTTTAACTTCCCCTCAAAAATTATAGTTTCCATTTATTTAAGCAAAATCTTTACTGGTAGCAATGGATTTTTAGTTTTCATAAGATTTTGTCTTAATTTAAAAGAAAATTGAAAGACTTTGGACCAGAAGATTAATAGTTAATAAATGTTTCTGTTTACTTAGACGTATTTTACAGAGTAAGACATAAAACAAGAGCTTTGTCTTACAGAGTTAGACAAAACCCCTCGATGTCTAACTTACATCAATTTAATATGTTCTTTAGGAGGCTATAAGAACAAGAATTTTCGGGTCTCCCTGCTGGTGCAAGGGGTTAAGTCTAAGCACTATGAAGCTATCAGCCACTGCTCCTGCACCAGAGAACTAACCCTAATGGCGCAGCAGGCCTCTCCTGTCTCACCTGCTGCCCCCCTCAGCAGTGTATTTCAGTCAGTTGCCTGTTCTGCTCCCCACTCTGTCTCTGGTGAATCCTCTCACCCCCTGCACTTCTGGCCTACACCCTAGCTGTTGTATGCATAAATAAAAAAAATAATCTTAAAAAAAGAGCAAGAACTTTCCCTACTACTAATAAATGCATATTTTTTTTCTCCAAAATCATATCCCAGGAAACAAGTGCTTCCTGGTTTTCTTTCACAGTAAAAGTTTTTTCATGAGCTGCTATTCAGACATTACTAGTGTTTCTCTGTTTCGCTGTTTGGGCTTCTTCTTTTTTTTTTTTTTTTTAAAGATTTAACCCCTGCACCATCAGGGAGGCCCTGTTTGGGTATTTTTTGTGAATCTTTATTAAGAAGGAATTGTAGAAAACTCAGCAAGTGTTGCATACAGGCTAAGAGCAGGAGATGTGGCATAAAAGGACCAAGGCTTTGAAGCCTGTTACTTCCTAACTATGCGGTCTTAGACATATTGCTTAATATTTGGGTCACAGTCTCATCTGAAATATGGCTTTTGCATGGTGCCAAGTGCAATGAATGTGCACCATTATTTGTGCCACTAGTTGGGAAAGGACATTTCTCTTGCAGCCAGAGGAAGGGTAGTAAAGAGGGCAGTGGTTAGATTCTGAAGAGGCACTTTGTCATTGGGTGACACTCTCTTATCTACAACTACAAAGAATATCCAGTGACTGTGACACTCAAGGAAACTCATCATTGAGATCAAAACCAAACGCTGTAAATGTTTTGCTACGATGATGATGCTGGTAGGTTGAGTGGTGTCATATTTTGCCTTTTGTCTCTATTATGAAAACAGTGGTGCATTATGGTAATAATTCACATGAGCCAGGCTGTGATATTTTCATATAGGTTCCTACCTGTTGACGGTGAGCACAGCAACAGCCAAACAGGCCTCCGATCATTCCATTTATTACTTGAATGAAACACAAGATGAATTCGAGTGCACCAAGTCCCAGGAGGATTGAAAACAGAGAGACATTCCAAAGCACAACGTTCTTGGGTTCAAGGCACTGGGACCACGTGGAGCTATCTGTAATGTATCTGTGGATAAAACAAGAATAAAAACAACAAAATATCTTCTATGGATGTCTCATAAGCTATTTTTTTTTGTGTGTGTGGCAGTTTTTTGCTAAAGAAAAAATAAATTAATTCAAATGTTTTATATCAAATTCTTCTGACCCAAGTCATTTATGATATGTAAGGAATTTAGCCCAGATCTTGTTATAGTGACAAAAATAAAAATGAAAATTTGTAATGTTTGATTCTTTGTTTTCTGAAACATCTAATGATATTTTGACTCTTTGCTTTCTAATGTTTATATTCTCTAAATGCCATGTAACTTAAAATGCAAAATTGCATTTATGCTATATTTAAAGCAAAGTAACGTTCATGTATGTAAGTAGATGTGAACTAAGAGCTAATATGGAAAATGAAACTAATTTTTTATAATCTTTTAAATTTACATCTTTTACATCATTGTATGTTCCCCTTAAAATTCCCACCACCAGTTCACCTGTGAATCTTCACCATAGTCCATTGTGCTCTTCTCCCCCCTATTTTGATGCCTTTTATTCCCCTTCCCTCACAGAATGTCTCTTATTTATGGTTGCCTGTTAGTTTTTTTTAAATTATATTATTATTGTTATTATTTTTCCCCTTGATTCCTTATTTGGTTCCCCTATATTCCTCCTATAAATGAAAATTTTTCTTCTGGCTTATTTCACTGAGCATGATCCCTTTAAGCTCCATCCACATTGCTGCGAATGGCATTAATTTATCTTTTTTGATGCTGAATAGTATTCCATTGTATATATTTACCATATCTTCTTGATACAGTCATCTATTTTTGGCACTGGGTTGTTTTCATGTCTTACCTATTGTAAATAGTACTGTAATAAACATTGGGGTACAGGTATCTTTTTTAATTGATGTGTTCTTGTGTCATAGGAGTGGAATTGTTGGGTCATATGTTAGTCCCATTTTTAGTAGTTTGAGGAACCTCCACACAACTTTCCATAGTGTTTGGAACAGTATGCATTCCCACCAGTGCTGTTGAAGAGTTCCTTTTTCTTCACATCCTTGCCAACATTTGTTGTTTCCTCTTTTTAAAAAAAAAAGATTTATTTTATGTATATAAGAACTGGGGTACAGGCCAGAAGTGCAGGAGGCTGAGAGGATTCACCAGAGACAGATCGGGGAGCAGAACAAGCAGATAGACTGAAAGCACTGCTGAGGGGAGCAGTGGGTGAGACAGGAGAGGTCTGCCTTGCTATGTGGGATTCTCCCTGGCAGGCCAGGGATCGAACTCGTGCTGCAGAGGCTGCAGACAGCTTCACAGTGCTGCGCTCAATCCACTGTGCCACCAGGGAGGCCCTCCTCCTTTTTAAAAAAAAAAAAGATTATTTATGCATATAAGAGCTGGGGTGCAGGCCAGAGGTGTGGGGGGGGGTGGTGAGAGGATTCACCAGAGACACAGTGGGGAGCAGAACAAGGCAGATTGACTGAAATACACTGCTAAGGAAAGCAGCGGGTGAGGCTGCTCATGTGGGTCACCTCCCTTGCTGGGGACCGAACTCGTGCTGCAGTAGCTGCGGATTGCTCCATAGTGCTGATGCTCAACCCCTTGTGCCACCAGGGAGGCTCCTCCTGCTTTTTTAATGTGTGCCATTCTAACTGGTGTAAGGTGGTATCTCATTGTGCTTTTGATTTGCATTTCCCTGATTATAAGTGAAATGAAACTAATTTTAAGGTAGTGGAATTCTAGATGATTTTTTTAATGTATTTTTATTTTATTTTTTTTAAGATTTATTTATTTTATTTTTACAACCACTGGGTACAGTTAGAAGAGCGGGAGGGTGAGAGAATTCACCAGAGCCAGAGCGGGGAGCAGAACAGGCAGAAGGACCGAAGTACACTGCTGAGGGGAGCAGCAGGCTGCAGGAGAGGTCTGCGTGCCATGTGGGACCCTTGCCCAGCGGCCAGGGATCGAACCAGCGCTGCAGTGGCTGTGGGCAGCTTCTCAGCCCAGCGCTCAAATGCTGCGCCACCAGGGGAGGCCCAATTCTAGATGATTTTTAAAATCTGTTTCCTAATTGTATTATTATTTGTTATCTGTGTGGAAGATAGGATTTTGTAACCAATGATGAGTGTATGTTATTTAGGGAATATAAATGATGAGTGTATGTTTTTTAGGGAATATAAATTCTTTACATTAGCTCTTTGGGACTTTTGAATATCAATTCAGATCATTTATTAAAATTCAAATTGTTCCTTTTGAAAATTATCCAATTATTGACAAGCTTGGAGATTTAATATGCAGGTTTTCCTAATTGAGATCTTTATGAGGAAAACTCCGCTTTTAAGGAACACATTACTCTGCAACATGAAGCACAAAAATTAATTCCAATTAATTTGATATTCCTTTTTACTTTCATGATATTGTGCGCACACACCTATAGTAGCATGCAGCACATTGTACTCATTTATTCAACAAAGATTATTGAGTACTCAAAGTTATTTAGACACTGAGCCAGGACTGGGGATATAATAGTGAACAAAAGATGGGCTCTTTTCCGGAATTCCGTAAAGTCTAAGGGAAGAGAAAATAAGTACTGTCTATGGAACAAGCATGCTGCTCTGGTAAACCAAACATGAAAGGGTACTTTAGCTAATCCAGGGTAAACACCTGCTTATGTAGCAATTCCACAAGTCTGAGCTCCATGAAGTTAGGAACTAGGCGTTTATCAATAGTATTTCCAGTCCCTTAGCCAGTATCTGAAACACAGTAGGTACTTAACACATTTTAAAAGTAATTGAATCATAAAAAACAATCTGAAGCCACTTTGTGAGATGTTAGCAAACTATATTAAGGTCATATCTGACCTTATATATAAGGTCATATATACATATACATATGACCTATATATATAAGTTGTATAATACATATGTTACATATATGACTTAAGAGATTTCCTGAATATCTGAATATTCTAAACACTCAAACATTCTACCTCTAATTGCTCTCCTGGAATTTGGCTTTTGCTATAATAATTTGGATTCTTAATGAAATAGGATTCAATCTCACAGGAAAATCAAGGATTGACTTAATTCTACATTTCCTTATCTCTTCCTCCTACCACAGCAGAAAATGACACTGGGGATTAGAGATCTAACTTTGAAATGATTTACTGAGTTAGTCAGAAGTTAATTTTATTGGTTACAAAACATTTTGTCCTTGGATCCTTTCTTTCTGGATGTCAGTGAAACAAAAATTTAAAATTTCAGGACATAATGTAAAAAAATTAATCGTCCCACATGGCATAGCTATTCAGCAACTAATTACCGGCTTGTGACCACTAGCTATGTCCCATATTGAAATCCCTAGACAGGTTGAAATGAGGAATGATATAGAAGAGGAAAGTTTCTTGCAGAAGCTGGAGTGGATCATGGGAAGAGCATATCATCAGCTATGAAAACATTTAAAATCTCACACTACTTGCATTCCAGTTTCACTAATCATTACCTTTTTTAGAAGTGGATTTATGGTCATTTGCATGTTTATGAATACTAATTTCTACTAATACATTTAGTATGTTCTGAACAAAGATGAACCATGCTCAATAACAATTTTGATGACCAAAATTTGTAATTTCTATAAGTGCTAATTTTCCTCCTTCCAGTGGGTTGTGTTCATTATAAGTTAGTAAACAATATCAGCAGCTAACAGTGACAGTGTTCACTATGCATCAGTTTCTGCAAGAGAGCTATTTTATATATTGTATATCATTAATCTCCCTGCTCATTGTATTGGTTTTATTTTACAGATGAAGTAACTGAGTACAGAGGGCTCCATTCACTTTTTCTGGCTACACAGAGAACAAATGAAGAACTGGGATCAAATTCAGGTCTATCTAATTTCATGTTCATGAACTGATGACCATTAATATATAATATATGATTCATGGGGGACAAATACTCTTGATAATATAGTCAATTCAAATTCATCATCCATTGGTTTCACTTACAGCAGGAATATAAGGGAACCAAATAAGACATCATGTAAAAAAAATAATAACAGTACAAAACACAACAAAGCAAAAAAGGACAATTATAAATCAGAGACCTACTGAAGGGGAAGAGGAGGGAGAGGGATCAGAGTGGGGGAGGGAGGGAGGAGCACAGGGGACTGAGGTGAGGGAGCATGGGAACATTGGTGAAGGAAACTCTATGGGGACTATACCTGAGGGGGTGGGGGGAAGCAAATATTGTTTAAAAATGAACAATGATGTAAAAAAATTTAAAAAATAATATAAAAAATTCATTATTCATGCTATTTTCTCTCATGAATCTCAAAACCTTTCAAAATTTAAAGGCTATCATTCATGTTCATCGTACACACCAGTTTCTATTAGATATTTATGTTTTTATCCTTATTATATAAGGATTCCATAACATTTTCTTACAAAATAATAAAATCAGTCTATTGTTATGGTATAGGGTACACAGGACACAGTCAGGTTGCCCACTTTCGAGTCCTGATGGCAAAAGTTTTCTAGCAATGTGACTTTGAATAAGTTACTTCATCTCTGATTTCCTGATCTGTAGAGTGAGAGCAATAGCAGCAGTAACCGCCTAGAGTTATCATTAAGACTGAATCAGTGAATCCATTAAAAAGCACTAAAAGCTTCTAGAGGTCAGGCACTGGGCATCCTCTGATACCACTGCCCGAGTCAGTGCCAATAAACCTCACTGAGTGGAAGGACGAATGGATGACTGATGTCTTTTTAGCTTGATAGGGCTGTCATTACACACATGTTGGAAAATAATGTGTAGCCTAATAGGGAACAATTACTTACCTTCCGTTGGTTTTGGCAAAGATATAGCTCCACTGGCCAGATGAATCCCGGCACATTGGTCCCTCCACTAAGCCCAGGACTGACACGATGACACAGTAGCCAGATCCAGCAAGTCCCGTGATCGCAACCAGTACAGAAGCAAGCATCTAGTGAAGGGAAAGACATTGGAAGTAAATCACAGTTTCCCAGATGCATCTTAGGAACCATTCCTCCCTGGAAAGGGACCTACCGCACAGCTCTTGCCACATTCTTTGTTGCCCCCACAGCCACAGCAGTTGTCATCAGCCACTCCCATGAAGACTACTGCAGGCAGCAACATCTGGTTAGGAAACAAGCATAAAAAGTTACTGTCTTTCGGGCCTCCCCGGTGGCACAGCGGGTTGAGCCCATGCTGTGAAGTTGTCCTCAGCCTCAGCAGCACGGGTTCAATCTGGCCGGCCGGGGAGAATCCCAGATGGTGCAGCAGATCTCTCCTGTAGCGCCCGCTGTGCCCCTCAGCAGTGTATTTCTGTTGTCTGACTGTTCTGCTCCCTGCTCTGCCTCTGGTGAATCCTCTCACCCTCCCACACCTCTGGCCTGTACCACAGCTCTTGTATAAAAGTAAATAAATCTTTAAAAAAAAAAAAAAGTTACTGTCTTTCCCCAGGCTGAGCACCTTTTGATATTTCTGGTATGTTGACTCACTTTGGATAAGTTTGACCTGGTGTCTCAAGTAATGTTAACTGTGTGGAGAAAAAAACCTCTAATTACAACATCTTCTTGTTTTCATGTAATGTGTCAAAGCACTCTTTAGGTTAAGAGTATAGCCATAGGGGCCTCCCTGGTGGTGCAAGGGGTTAAGGTGGAACCTAAGCTATTCACACCACTGCAGCTTGAGTTCAATCTCCAGCCAGGGAGCTACCCACATGGCACAGCAGACCCCTCCTGCCTCGCCAACTTCTCCCCTCAGCAGTGTATTTCAATCAGTCTGCCTGTTCTGTTCCCCACTCTGTCTCTGGTGGGTCCTCTCGCCCCCTACGCCTCTGGCCTGTATCCCAGTTCTTGTATGCATAAATAAATAAATGTTTTTTTTTTAAAAAGAGTATAGTCATGGTACGGTATGGGCAAAATAATAACCTAGAAAGTGTGTTTATTCCACAAGTGTTCATAACATAACCCTACATATAAATTCTGTTTGCGAAGTATGAAACTGTTTTTAAATCTGACTTTTTTCCCTTGAAAAACAGAAAATAACAGGGCCTCCTTGGTGGTGCAAGGGGTTGAGATGCAGCACGATGAAGCTATCTGCATCCCGAGTCAGGGAGATGACCCACATGGCGCAGCAGACCTCTCCTGTCTTGCCTGCTGTTCCCCTCAGCAGTGTATTTTGTCAGTCTGTTCTGTCTGTTCTTTTCCCCACTCTGTCTTTAGTGAATCTTCTCACCCCTCACACGTCTGGCCTGTACCCCAGTTCTTGTATGCATAGTTAAATCTTTTTTTTTAAAAAAAGAGAAAAAAACAGAAGATAACAACAAATCTTTAACAGGATAACTAACGCTATTCTGCAAATAAGAAAGATGAAGCTCTGTATAATGAATGTGAACTGTTTATTTGAAGATACAATTGCATGAAGATAGTTCTACAATCTCTTTAAGTAAAGCAAGTCTGAAATTCTTTGAGCTCAAGATTAAAGAAGTTTAAACTGATGTGATGTTACATTAGAGCCAAATGATTATGTTAACATGGCAAGAATGTTTAAATCTAAAGATTTTCCAAACCATATTTTGCATATTAGGTTTAAATGTTGTAAATATCTTTGCCTAAGAAAAATATTCTGTGTGGTATTAGCATTTCCATAAAATTTCTCTTTAAAATTCTCAATTCTGGGCCTCCCCGGTGGCGCAGCGGTTGAGCGCTGGGTTGCGAAGCTGCCCGCAGCCACTGTGGCGCCGGTTCGATCCCTGGCTGCTCCCCAGCCACCGGAGGAGGGTCCCATATGGCGCGCAGACCTCTCCTGCCGCCCGCTGCTCCCCTCAGCAGTGTACCTCGGTCCTTCTGCCTGCTCTGCTCCCCGCTCTGGCTCTGGTGAATTCTCTCACCCTCCCGCGCTTCTGACTGTACCCAGTGCATGTATAAACAAAACAAACAAACAAAATAAATAAATAAATAAAACACGCCTCTATAAAATAAAAAAAATAAAAAAAATAAAATTCTCAATTCTGGCATTTTAATGTAGCAAATTCAAGTTTGTTCACATTCTTTCCATACTGTGGTCGAACCTAGTACTTTCAGCTCCCAGATCAGCAGGCAAATTCCTCACTTCAATTAAAACAAATCTTGGAAAAAAACAACCCATTCCACAATTTACCTCAGACACTGATCTGCTGCTAACTGTAAGATTTTTCCTATACACCGCACCTCAGAATTCTTTATTTTTTTCCTGCCATAAACACCTGAGAATAAACCGCAGAGAATCTGAATCCAAAACTCTGTTGATTTAAAGAAGAAGCAAAGAACATTCCCCAGAGCAAATGTAAAATGCCTATGGAGCCCAGACTAGAAACTCTATAATCTGTTCAATCGAAATTAAAAACTAGTATCTGTTTTAGCTGTAAAGTAAGAGTTGAGGAAAATGGTAGTTCACTTTTAGTTGAAAGAGGATTTTGTAAAAAAGCTTTTAATAAAACTAACACTTAACCTATCTCAACTTTTAGGTAATCTGCTTTCAAAAGAAGAATGAACAACAACAACAAAATCACTGGATTTGGAAAAATGCATTACAGAAAACTTTCCATGAAAACTCATTATGAAAACATTTCATTAGCAGGAGAGACCTTTTTAAGATTGTAATAATTCTGAGAGACTTACCAGCAAGCCTCCTCCGAAAATGCCAGAGAAAAACCACACGAATCGGCTGAGATGTTGCTCAGAGGCATATATTGTCTCCGCATTCGGAAAATACAGCAAAATATTAGCCACAATGCACAAGATGGCAAGCCACAAGAGAGACTGCCCGATGCACCCCGCGCATCTGCCGTAGCACATGGTGGTGGCAGGGAGTTGGGAAGGTGTAGTCCCCCTTCACTCTGCAGTGCAGCGAGGCCCCAAATCAGACGAGATGGGTGGTGGCCGGCTGTGGAAAAATCAAAAGCAATTCTCAGCCCATTCCTGAGCCCATCTCTTAAATACTCTCAGTTGTTAGTCATTGGGCTTATGAGGTACTTTGCTTTCATTGGTCCTGCTTGCAGGCTCCGGGTGGGTGGGGGAATGTAGGGGAAATGTTCCCGCCCTTCAAATGAAATCCTTGAGACAAGCGAAACCCGGGACAGAACATGAGAAACAGCCTCAGTCACAGGCAAGAGAGAAAATGATTAATCCTCAACAAGGAATTCACTGCGCAGTTCCCTCCCAGGAGAAACATTTGACAGGAAACTCTAATCCGACTTTCTAGAAACTGCCGAGTAGCCACAGGGTGCCCGTCCTGGTCACGGCTTTGAAGGTGGCTATGATCCTGCTCCACGCAGCTGTCTGGACAAATGCCAATTTAGTGATGTGCTCTGTACTCACCTCCACCTTTGCACTGATTTAATTTGAGACCTGGGGCAATTCTCCTCAGCTCAGCGCTCCTTTCCTTCTCAAAGGCAAAGGGCTTATCATCACCCATGGATTGAGGAAGCCTGCTGGGAAAATGACAGAGTGGCCTTCTCCCTCTGCCTCTGGCAAGCTCTGTAGGGTGGATCCTACTGTCCAGCCTTCCTGGACATCTGCCTCTAAATCAACCTGGCACCAAAGGAAAGGTGGCATTAGTCAACACAGAGGGTTCAGGCACCTTTTTATTCCTGGGTATTGGAATTGGGCAAAGCGATGCCAGGAAGGTCCAGGCAGACCTAAATAAAGCATGGGGAAAGGATGAAAAGAATAGAAAGAAAGAGAAAAGGACAGATGAGAAAGGGACTGGCAAGCAGAGGCAGAAACAAGATTGAAAGAGGCTGGAATAACTGGGAGTCATAGTAGGTGATGGGGCCACAGGGCTGACCTGTGGTCTGCCCAGCCAGATTCTGGGACATGCTGCTGCAGGCTCGCAGCAGGAAGGCTGAAAAGGCGTTAGGTCAGTTTTCAGCGCGGCTGTCTTGCAGAATGGTGGGTCAGTTTCTGAATAAATTTAGCCCCATTGAACAGCAGTTTGCACTAGCCATCTGGGTGAAGGAGGACATGGTGACGTGGTAAGTTTGGGATTGGAGGAGCCTTGTTACCTGGGTAGAACAACAAATATGGAAAAGAGGCAGAAGATCTAGGTGGGGTGTTGTTATTTCAGAAGAGGAATGTGAGCAGGACTAGTGAATCCAGGAGCAGAGGTGGAGGTCAGAGTTTGAAGGCTTGGGGCAAAAACTAGGGGGCAGGACACATACCAAATTTGAGAGATAAACTGGGGTTTGTGACACAGTGTCTGCACTGGTAGAAGGACCCAAGAGGAACCATGGTGTGAGCAGTGATGAGGGGCCTGAGAAAATGGATGGGACACTGAGAGCATGAAGGGAAGCTTAGAAGTACACACCTGTGCAGGTAGAGGGATGTAATTTCTTCACAGGACTGTTACTCTGTCACCACTATGCATCCAACAATGGACATGCTTGCCCTCGGTCTTGGTTTTCAGTCCCACTGGATGGGATTCCGCAGATTGAGGGTCTGAGGTGGCCGACAGGTGAATGACTGGATCCTTTGTAGAAGTGATCATTCTGCTCTCCGCCCTGCAGATCTATCCCACCTGGGGCCAAAGTGGGGGAGAGCAAATCTTTGACGACTTGCCCCCCAGGTGCTTACATCCCCTCCATCCTTCTTTTCCCCACCCCTCTAGTCAGCAGGGTAGGGAAAAGAGAGCGAGGGGCTTGGAAAGAAAAAGCGTGAACTGAGAGCCTAACTCTGTTTTCTTCCAACTTTGTGGAGCAGGAGGTCACCTATGTTCTAGGACTCTTTCCTATTCTCTAAGACAAGGGGCAGCCCTAGATCAGCGATTCCTGTTTTTGAGACTCTCGTAACAATATGGGCCCTCTCCCTAGGAAATGGAATGTACATATATGCATACATACACTCACATACATTTTTCATTTCATTTTGAAGGTTCATAGATTCCTTGAAGCCCATGAGTAGGACTTCTTCCACATTTTTCAAGGTGTAGCCAATCTGGAGACCACTGGCTTCACAGATACATTTCTGGTCCTATCCTTGACAAAATACATTTCTGGTCCTACCCTTGAAACTTCATCCCAGTCAATTGCATTTTTTCAAATGCTTCATGAGTCTTACATTCCTTTAGGTTTGGGGACCACTTGCCTCATCACAGCCTAGGCAAACAGCATCTGTGTTAGATGCTCTCTGAGGTCACCCCCACCTCCAAAGACTCCTTGGCTGGAGCCAGACACTTTGGGCGCACTCACATTGTGGAAGACACATTGCAATTCAGTGCGGGCACTTTGAGATTTGAGTGGACAAACTTCTCTTGTAACATGGAGTCCTTTTTCCTTTGCCCACATTCTGTCTTTCTACACAACTCCCCCTATTTCTACCCCTCAGCTGCTCTAAGTCTCCGCAGAAGCAGTCTTTCCTGACTTGGGCTCCTGGCTTAAAAGCTATATTCTTTTTTGGACATTTTTTTAAATCTTGTATCTCTAGTCCTAGTCAGACTTGGCCTGACAGAGCATCCTGGCCTTTCTCCTGGTTCCCTGTGCAGAGCTGCCGTCTCCTCAGATACCCTCTGAGATTCTTTCCACTTTGCAACTCCCATTCCTGGCTTTCACTCCACCTCTGCTTCCCTGTCTTTCTTCCTCATTTTGAGCCTGATCTTCTTTCTGAGTTTCTTGCTGCAGGGTCTTGTTCATGAACCACCTACTCAAAGAGGCCCTTTATTTCCCCTGTGCCTGGATTACAGCCTGGAGCATAGTAGGTGTTCAACAAATATTTCCTGAATAATTGGATAAGCAAATGAATCATGAATAATTTTGTTCTTCTTCTCTGTGAGCCCAGCATATCATTTAAAATTTCTGTTTATTGCTGACACCATTGCTTCCAGGTCCTGCCACTGCCTGGCTGCTTTGGGGCAAGTTATTTACCATTCTGTGCCTCCGCTTCAATCATTAATTTGTTCACCAATATTTAATCAGCTCCTACACTGTTTTCTTAGTGCTGAGGATGCAGCAGTAAAAACAAACAAACAAAAATCCTGCCCTTCAAGAGTCCATTCTATCAGAAGGAGACAGCCTAGTAAATACAATACTGCTTAAATAAAATACATTGTATTAGATGTGATAGTACAGGAAAGAGGTATAGGTGGGGGAGAGTAGGGGCCTCTTGGAGGCAAGATAATAATAGAACTTACCACACAGAATTGTGATAAGCCAAGTGAGTCAAATTGTATGAAACACAGTCCAGGAGGTATTAAGCAACCACCAGATAAATGTTACTCATTATTACTGTTTTCATCAGTTCACTATCCCAGGAGAGATGTCTCTATTTCATTATGATTTGTTCTATCTACCTCTCTGGGTTCCATTCCTCCAATGTACATTGGATGCCTTTATTCTCATTTGTGACTAATTTTTAAATACTGGAGTCCCACAGTTATGCTAAAAGCTCACTTTTAATTCCTCTATTCTTTTGTGAATCAGTCTCAGTTCACAGAGATCTTTGGGAAGAATGGATTTTACTGGACACAAAAACACAGGTCCCTGGGCACCGAGCACTGATTTCAACCCCAGATTTTGGGGATGCTGTCTCCCTGCCAGAAAGGCCCTGTTCTTCCTTTTTTGTCCCATCCACTCCATCTGTCTTTGTTCCCTTAACTGTTCTCATTACTTTTTCCATGACATCATCCATCACACCTCTGCCTGCCTCTCAAATCTACTCATCACTCCCACTTTGTCCTACACACATTCCCATCCAGCACCGATCTGACAGAGATGCACTAATGTGTACCGTTGTGAGCTCCCCCAACTCTGCTGAGGCTCCAGAGTGGGGGAGTTATCTTTTTTTCTTTGAGGGCGCACCAGCCAGCACCAGATCAGGCATTTAGTTGACTGTCAATATTAGCTAAAGTCAGTTCAAAGAAATAGGAGAGTTAATGTGTTCAGTTCTAAGGTCATATGCTCTTAAGCAAAGGCAAAATATCTTCTGAAAAGTTAGTCAAAATTAGCATCTGTTATATTTATTATACCCATTACATGAGCAACTACTATATGCTTCTTATAGTTCTGCATGATGTGACTGCAAGAATGATTTCAGGGGCTTTAATTTTGGGAAAAGCCTCAATAGAAAGAATGTTTTGCCTCCTACCTCTTCACAGTCATGGTCATTTTTGGTTAAGCCTACAGGGGTTGAAATCTCTTCCCAACATCAGGCAATTAGTGGGCAGTAGAAATTAGTTACTTGTAAGAACTAACATCATTAGTCTGTGATGCTTTGCAGTTGTGGGATTCTAAGAGGAAGATTTGAACTTAAATCTTCTCCTAGTTGTTTTCTTCTATGTGTATTTTGCCTTCTTTGTTGGGAAATCCAGTTCCTAACTCATTTGAACAAGACAAATATAATGATTCATACATAATAAACTTCACTCATTAGAGCTTTTTTAAAAATTATAATTAACAGAAGCCAGTTCCAGCTACCTTGGCCAAGGGGCCATTAATTATGGACTCTACAGGTGAGGTAAGGATACAGATGGGATGACAGACTCATGGACAAGTAGAACCTAACTGTGTGGGAAATCCAGAATATGCTCTCTTCCCTCATTCTAACATCTTTGACTCCTCTATACATGCTTTAATTCTTCTTAAAGCAGACTCATTTTCTCTTTTTCTCAATCTACACAAAAGAATACGGCTACTAGCTGTTCTCAAGTTTGCAGTTTTCTCTAGTCAAGAAACCCAGATTCTGAGAGAAGGGGTTGGGTTGGACAAGACTGGGGCCTGTACCTCCTGAACAAGCATGGCAATCGCGAGCCATCTCTGTAACCATGTAGACTGGGGAAGAGTTGTTCTCATGAAAAGATGATGTGGGACCAGGTAAAGAAGCCAGGAATTGTTCTTTATTTGAAACTATTGTCAAGGCACAGAACCTCAACAACAGTTTTGAGTTTCTGACCTACAGCTCCCTGACTCTCCTGCCACTTTAG